CATTCATTCTGCCTATTGTGTGGCGTATCATGACACCTATTTTACTAAGTATTTTGATGATTAGTGTCATGATAAACTCGTCATATACTGTGTTAAATGTTCTCATAACTGTTACACTAAATATTATGACTAAATATTATATCATGTCTGCGACTATCTGCCTAGTAATTTTAACTATCATGATGATTGTTATAATAATTAGGATAATAGTTATCGAATTAGGGTCTTGTGTATGCTGACTGTTTTGTCAGCTACCATGCTGATTAGTATAATCTAAATGCAGGTTATAATGCAATTTAAAAATGATGCTTATTTGTATTTTCTATTTATTCTCCTTTGATAGGGGTAGGATGGCAGGTGACGAAGGAGAATATGAGAAGAGAATACTGAACAACAATGTGATTGTAATGTTGTACAAATTTGATTTGATATATAATATAATATAATTTTAAAACAATCCACATTTGTGTTTTCAATGTATTTACTGGTAGATAGTGAATGTGGGCAGTATAGGGAGTGCTTGTAAAAGTCTCATCACTAGGTAGGGTCGGTGAAGTGTAGGAGTTGCTCGGTTGTGCAGCCGTGGTAATTTTACAAACTGATGATTCCTTCGTACTTGATTGCACGCTGATTACGAATCGCAAATATAATACGTTCATTTGTGCTGATCTAGTTCTGACTGCCTTAAATAGCACCGTAGGTATTTTCTCCGAGCTAGTCATCATTATGAGTTTCTGAATAGTGGGGAGACAATTCAGGAATATGATCATTTTTATGATTCTCCGTACACATTTAAACGTACTCAATGTATGAATTTCTGACGAGATACTGTTCGAAACTTTGTAGGAAGCAATTTCCTACAGGTGTAACTCTAAGCTATTCTCTAGACCGTCAAACACAGAGTCTTGGTTTAGCCAAAGTCAGAACAAGTAAGCTATTTGGCTTGATAAACTTTGTCTGTTTCTAAAACATAATTTCACACCGTTACTATACAAAATAAACAATACAGTCTATCAACACAGGGAAAAACAGAGACATAAATAACATACCGAACAGTAGCTAGAGTGAAGATGCCACAGGTATTCGGAGTTTGACAACGCTTTAACCAGTAACACCTTCTAATACGAAGCGCACCCACCAAGTAAAATCAAAAGACAGAAGCGAGGAGATCGAAGATATATTTGATAAGCTATCAATATATCGAGGATCGTTGGCACTAATCTGGCTAGCGATTGAGGCTGATGTGGAGCACGGCGTTCCCACACGTGATCTGGTGCGGATGCTTGACCGAGCGCCTTCCGCTAGATGAGTCCACTAAAACTATGGTCAGCATCTAATGTCGAAAACTTACAGAGCTATTTGATTTTGAGGAATTATTTACCGCTACAGATCACTCCCCCCCTAGTGGGGTAGTGATGACCCTAAGACGTGGCCAGCCAGAAGTTGAAACCCAACGAGATTTTCGTTCGTAAACACTCTTCTGATAGCTTGCTAGGTTTAGCAGCGTCTGGTCGTCTTTCCTTACTATAATGGACCATGATGTACAATATAGTAAAAAAAGGTACAATGCAGATTTTCGTTTTTCGCAACTTCATCGTTCTTTTCCAGTCGTCCTGGAAAAGAAAAAATATGTAAGTGCATGTCGGAATACACTCGTACGCGCGTGAAAACACAAAACAAGCGAAGAAAAAGGAAAACAAACTCATGCTCACGTAGTAGCGTAAAATAAGATTTTTATAATATCGTTGTTTTTTTTTTAAATAGAAAAAAAAATAATATATAAGCATATTAAATTCAGGTTTTTTTTTTAAAAAAATTATATGTAGTACAAAGGGAAATTCGAGAGGATGTAAAATGTTAACTTGTATCTTACGTGCAGTAATCGTTCAAGTGTTCTGGAAATCTTACTCTTCTTCCAGAACGCGTTGTTTTGAGTTTATTTTCGGATACCGTCGCAGTATCAACGTGTGTGTCTGCTGTCGATTGAGGCATTATAAGCGCAGGAGTTGTGTCGTGCGATTGTATTGAAGGAAAATCGACGTGAATAGGATTTCCTTCTAAATACGCTGCTTTGAGGCGATCGATGCTGATGCTTTCGTTGGTTCCGTTCTTATCTATTATATAGTACTTAGATTTGCGTTGAAGAACTTTGAAAGGTCCTTCATATGTTGATTCGAGAGGTCGTCGATGCGAGTCTCGACGCACGAAAACGTGTGTACTATGTAGTAAGTCAGGTTGAACGAAAACATCAGTTGATTGTGGTCGAGTGGAAACAGGTTTAACTGAACGCATTGTGTTTGTAAGCCTGTTCGCGTAGGAGGTTAGATCCATGTCCATCGAAGAGGATGAAGGATCCACGAACTCTCCTGGAAGTCGAAGGGTCGTACCATAAACGAGTTGAGATGCAGTGTATCCAATGTCAGATTTCACTGCATTGCGTATGCCTAGTAAGACGAGTGGAAGAGCGTCAGTCCACTGAGAAATGTTTGAGGCTGATAGTGACGCTTTTAGTTGTCGGTGAAAACGTTCTACTAACCCGTTTGCTTGTGGGTGGTAGGCCGTCGTTCGAAAGCGAGTGATTCCTAGTTTCATGGTAAGACAACGGAACAGTCCAGATTCAAACTGACGTCCACGGTCTGTAGTAATGGTTGTTGGGCAGCCGAAGTTTGCTACCCACCTCTCGACGAAGGCGCGAGCCACTGTTTCAGCAGTAATATCTCTGATGGGTACTGCTTCTGGCCATCGAGTAAAACGGTCTACGCATGTTAAAAGATAAGAATATCCATTTGAATCTGGTAAAGGTCCTACCAAATCCAAATGAACATGATCGAAGCGAGCATCGGGAGTTTTAAACGAGCCTAAGGGACATTTGTTATGCCTAATAACCTTAGATTTCTGGCAGCTTACACAGGAACGTGCCCACTCCCTCACATCTTTATTCATACCAGGCCAGCAAAACCGTTCTGCTATAAGCTTGATGGTTGCACGAACACCTGGATGAGAAAGTCTGTGCAACGTATCGAAGACGTTGCGTCGATATTGTTTCGGCACGATTGGGCGATCCCTACCTGTAGATGTGTCACAAAGTAAGGTTTCCTTACCTGTTCCCATCTGTTTAATGCGCAGTTTAAGTGTTGTTGAGGCCAACTCGTGCTGAAGATCACTGTCTTCTTTTTGAAGTTGGGCGAGTTTTAAAAGGTCGATTCCTTGGGAACTGTTCAAGGAATTTATACGAGACAAGGCGTCTGCGACTACATTGTTTGCTCCAGAAATGTGTCGAATATCTGAAGTAAACTGCGAAATGTAGTCCAGTTGTCGAGACTCACGTGGTGAGTACTTGTTCGAAGAAGAGCTTAAGGAGAACGTAAGTGGTTTATGGTCGGTAAAAATGATGAATTCACGGCCTTCGATATAGTGTTGAAAATGCCGGACAGCACAATACATAGCTAGGAGTTCCCTACCGAATGTGCTGTACCTCGATTCAGTGTCTAGCAACCGTCTAGAGAAAAATGCCAAAGGTTGCCAGGAGTGGTTAACCCATTGTTGTAAGACTGCTCCGATTGCTGAGTCGGATGCGTCTACTGAGATGCTAATGGGCGCTTTAGGGTCCTGATGAGCAAGCATTGCTGCTCGGGCGATATGTTCCTTAACCGTGGAGAATGCTTTTCGGGTAGTGTCATCTAGATTAATGGATTTCGCATTTCCACGAAGTTGGTCAGTAAGGGGTTTCATAAGTAACGCGCATTTCGGTATGAATCGTCTATAGAAACTTACCAGACCGTTAAACGTGCGCAATTGCTTGATGGTGGTCGGTTCTGGGTAATCCAGAATGGCCGCTACTTTCGTTCTAAGGGGTCGAATGCCATGCGCATCTATAGTGTGTCCTAAGAAGTCTAAGGATTCGGTTCCGATTTGGCATTTCTGAATGTTAACGGTAATGCCATGCTTTTGTAGTCGGTCGAAAACAATGTCCAGATGCTGGAGATGTGATTCTCTGTCCGGACTTGCTATTAGACAGTCATCAACGTATGCATGTACGAAGTTGAGACCTCGAAAAACGTCATCTATGAACCTTTGGAAAGTCTGTACCGCGTTTCTCAGACCAAAAGACATTCGCAAAAATTCATAGAGTCCGAAGGGCGTTATAATAGCGGTTTTTGGAATGTCTTCAGTGGCCATAGGACTTTGGTTATAAGCTTTTACCAAGTCAATTTTTGAAAAGACAGTTGCACCTTTCAAGGTAGCTGTCAAATCGTGAATGTGGGGCAACGGGTGACGATCGGGAATGGTGTTTGCATTCAATCTCCGATAGTCACCAGTTGGACGCCAATCGTTGCTGTCCTTTTCAAAGACCATGTGCAACGGAGATGCCCATGGGCTATTTGACGGTCGTATGATCCCTAAGTTTATCATATGGTCGAATTCGTTTTTCGCCAACCTTAACTTTTCGGGGGCCAGTCGGCGTGCTTTCGAGAATACAGGTGGTCCTGTAGTCGTGATGTGATGTGTAACATTGCTGGTTACACACGGCAATTTCGGTTGCGATTGGTAAATGCCAGAATATTTATCGAGTAGTGGTTGGTAGAAGGGGTCTATAGTGTGCTTAATAGTGACTGGGGATAACCTGCAACCAGAAAAAGAAGTCAGGCAAACAGATAAATTAGTGTTTCCGTCAACTAACCTCCGTTTGCGCGTATCGATAATTAAGTTGTGGTGTTGTAGAAGGTCCATACCAATGATTGGCATAGAAACATCTGCAACAACAAAGATCCAGTGAATGGGTTTGCGTAAACCCACGTTAAGATAAACATACCTTTGGCCATAAGTAGCGATAGGCTTTCCGTCTGCCGCCTGTAGATTTAAAACAGGCTCGTGTAGCCTGTCGTTGGAATTCGCCGGGAGAACGCTAACCTCTGCGCCAGTATCTACGAGGTAGCGAACTCTCGTTATCACATCAGTAACATATAAAAGACGGCTATGTTCGCCGGCTACGGTCGCCGTTAACGCGTGCCGGCTTGGAAGTTTCCCGAAGCGTTCTTCGCGTCGACGGATTTCGCATTGGGGAAATTGCAGGGTTTTCTGCAATTTCTGGCAGACTTTCCGTACTGGTTATGGTACCAGCACCAATCAGGATTATCTGTCTCTCGAGTTCTAGATACGGATCGCCTACGTGATGTGCTTCTCCGCGGAGTAAGTGATCGTTTGCGGTCGTTACCGAGTTTGAGATAGCGCGTAAGTGTATGACACAACTGTGTTATGTCATTCTGGGTCGTTTGAGGCTTTTCTTTGACTGAAAAAACCTCGGCGTTAGGAGACCTAGTGATCTCGAGAATGCGATCGGCAGATGCCGCTAGTTCGTCTACAGCGTTGTTTTGGAACGAGACCAAAACAGCTTGCACCTGTTGAGGAAGTTTGGATAAGAAAAGTTGCTTGAATAGGCCGTCATCGAAGGTTCTTTGGCCAATGACTTCTCGCATTCTTTGCAACATGTCTGTGGCAGAACCGTGTTGCAGGTCGATGTTGTTAAGGAGTTGGTCTAACCTTTGTCGATCGGTTAGATCTCCGCGTTTAAGGATGGCCTGTTTCAGTGTTTGGTATGGATCAGAAACATCACTAGTAAACATACTAAGTGTTACGTACCTGTTGAATTCGCGCGGTAGTGCCTTGACTACTGCGAGGAATTGTGCACGCACATCGTTCACACCGTGCTCGAAGAAGTCGGCTTCTGCATAACAAAACCAGGCTTCGATGTTGTCTGGCCAGAAAGGCATAAGTTGGAAAGAGGGTGGGGACACAGTCTTTAACTTGAATACTTTAGGTGTCTGTTCAGTCATAGTAATATACCAAGTACGAAAGGTGAACGAGTGGCAAATATATATATGAACCCAAAAACACGGAAAAAAAATATCACAATGTAAAAAAAAGAAATTAAAATAAGACAATGATATATGAAATCACAAAAAGGAACAGACTCACAGTTTACAATATGGTGTACCAAATCACGTCGGGCTCACCAATGAAGATGCCACAGGTATTCGGAGTTTGACAACGCTTTAACCAGTAACACCTTCTAATACGAAGCGCACCCACCAAGTAAAATCAAAAGACAGAAGCGAGGAGATCGAAGATATATTTGATAAGCTATCAATATATCGAGGATCGTTGGCACTAATCTGGCTAGCGATTGAGGCAGATGTGGAGCACGGCGTTCCCACACGTGATCTGGTGCGGATGCTTGACCGAGCGCCTTCCGCTAGATGAGTCCACTAAAACTATGGTCAGCATCCAATGTCGAAAACTTACAGAGCTATTTGATTTTGGGGAATTATTTACCGCTACAAGAGGATAGGAAAAATGAGTCAACAGGGCAAATATTGTTTTATAATCAACATAAAGGTAATTGTGCTTAGTGAATAAACAAGACATAGTGATACAAGGTCAAAGAAAGTTAATGTGGTGGTGGTGGTGGTGATGGTGGTGGGCGTTTCACTTTATCATTGGTGAGTTCGTTTATCGATCACACCTCACACTCATTTCGTTCGATTCAAATACAACTTCCATCCATTCGGTTTAAGTTGTTCTATAGCCATATTTTACGAAGTGATGGATCATGTTGTCAGTGATCTCAAAGTTGTTCAAGTTTATCAAGGTGATCTTATTATTCTATTATTATGGTTCTCACAAAGTAGCTCATGATCAGAGACTTATCGCTTGATTGCGTCGTTTAATGGTGAAGAACAATACGGCGAATTCCAATAAATGTCCACATTGTGTATCTAGTTTTGAATATCTTCCATACCTAGTTGACGGTAACGGTTTTAAACCAGATATGAAGCAACAAGCTCCACTGATTACTCACTGATTAAGAATTACAAATATTTTACGTCCAGTTTTGTTCTTCTAGTTCTACCTGCCTTGAATAGCACTGTTTCGGAAATTCTTACTTAGTACATTAATTCTAATACTTCTAATTATTATGGTAGCTCTCACGTATGAGTATGTCAGTTTAGTAGTAGTTACCTAATTTGCTAGCAATTTAAGCGTACTCAATGCACAACCCGTAAGTCGTAGAACAAAGTAGCCGTTTCATGAGTCACCATCTGTTATAACTTGTGACCGCCGATTAGAGAGCAGTGAATTATCGATCGAATCAATGACTCGTAAAACCCGTACGAGCAGCCTAGAGTCCTGATTGGTCTCGCTTCCTGCCTAGCCCAGCCAGTTAAGTCCAGAACACCAATCCGAGCCTCTGCGATATGAATCATGTATTTCAAACATACTCGGTTTATATAACAAACAAGCAGACCGCAACGTACGATAAAATAGAAAATAACATATGTACACAAATGAGCCGAATATTGGCTGTGAACGCGGGAGACAGTAATTAATAGACAGGCCATAACTCAAGAATGAAAAATCATATAGTGATAATCTAGGGGTCAAATTAAAGCTTATAATAAGTGGAATATAAATACACATAATGTAATTCTTGAATAATTGAACAATAAAAATATTTATAGAAAATTAGTCCAATAATAGTCCTGGGAAGTTACCTGTAGTTTCATCATCACTGGGATATAACATTAATGGTAACAGAAATATATGAGAATGACCTCAAAACAACAAGTTACAACGTCTTCAGATGAACCGAGACGAATATATATGTTCACTAAGAGCATATCGGGTGTACCTCATTCCGACCGGTCGTATAAAATGTTTATATTCCTCAACATAATGACTTACAATGGAAACAGTTTACAAAATAATATTTTGTCACATTTTATCCACTAAATGAACATAAAGCTTTCAATACCCTACACATACATTCACGGATAGACAAGCTACGAGTCAGATTGTTTGCCAATATGAATAGTGGGCATTTTCAATCAGCAACAGAAACCAAGAGGAGTCGCATAAAAATTAATTTTAATTACACGTCTGACAATTGTTTGTCGCATTATTTTCATCATCATATTTACAGACTAAAGCAAATTTGAATATACAGTTAATTGATTGGCAGTCACCTGACTGGTATCGATCGTGTAAATTCAAATATCACTTCTATGTATTAAATAGCATGCAACGGTCAGAAATATCAGTTGAAAGTTGGTCGCTCACTGAACGGCTGTGTATTTGTCCGCTGCGATTTCTTGTTCATATCACTAGTACAAACATTACGATTATGGCCGCCATCTTACTCACCATGATTGTTCTCGTCCTACTTTCGGTAATGAGAACATTCATTCTGCCTATTGTGTGGAATATCATGACACCTATTTTACTAAGTATTTTGATGATTAGTGTCATGATAAACTCGTCATATACTGTGTTAAATGTTCTCATAACTGTTACACTAAATATTATGACTAAATATTATATCATGTCTGCGACTATCTGCCTAGTAATTTTAACTATCATGATGATTGTTATAATAATTAGGATAATAGTTATCGAATTAGGGTCTTGTGTATGCTGACTGTTTTGTCAGCTACCATGCTGATTAGTATAATCTAAATGCAGGTTATAATGCAATTTAAAAATGATGCTTATTTGTATTTTCTATTTATTCTCCTTTGATAGGGGTAGGATGGCAGGTGACGAAGGAGAATATGAGAAGAGAATACTGAACAACAATGTGATTGTAATGTTGTACAAATTTGATTTGATATATAATATAATATAATTTTAAAACAATCCACATTTGTGTTTTCAATGTATTTACTGGTAGATAGTGAATGTGGGCAGTATAGGGAGTGCTTGTAAAAGTCTCATCACTAGGTAGGGTCGGTGAAGTGTAGGAGTTGCTCGGTTGTGCAGCCGTGGTAATTGTACAAACTGATGATTCCTTCGTACTTGATTGCACGCTGATTACGAATCGCAAATATAATACGTTCATTTGTGCTGATCTAGTTCTGACTGCCTTAAATAGCACCGTAGGTATTTTCTCCGAGCTAGTCATCATTATGAGTTTCTGAATAGTGGGGAGACAATTCAGGAATATGATCATTTTTATGATTCTCCGTACACATTTAAACGTACTCAATGTATGAATTTCTGACGAGATACTGTTCGAAACTTTGTAGGAAGCAATTTCCTACAGGTGTAACTCTAAGCTATTCTCTAGACCGTCAAACACAGAGTCTTGGTTTAGCCAAAGTCAGAACAAGTAAGCTATTTGGCTTGATAAACTTTGTCTGTTTCTAAAACATAATTTCACACCGTTACTATACAAAATAAACAATACAGTCTATCAACACAGGGAAAAACAGAGACATAAATAACATACCGAACAGTAGCTAGAGGATAGGAAAAATGAGTCAACAGGGCAAATATTGTTTTATAATCAACATAAAGGTAATTGTGCTTAGTGAATAAACAAGACATAGTGATACAAGGTCAAAGAAAGTTAATGTGGTGGTGGTGGTGGTGGTGGTGGGCGTTTCACTTTATCATTGGTGAGTTCGTTTATCGATCACACCTCACACTCATTTCGTTCAATTCAAATACAACTTCCATCCATTCGGTTTAAGTTGTTCTATAGCCATATTTTACGAAGTGATGGATCATGTTGTCAGTGATCTCAAAGTTGTTCAAGTTTATCAAGGTGATCTTATTATTCTATTATTATGGTTCTCACAAAGTAGCTCATGATCAGAGACTTATCGCTTGATTGCGTCGTTTAATGGTGAAGAACAATACGGCGAATTCCAATAAATGTCCACATTGTGTATCTAGTTTTGAATATCTTCCATACCTAGTTGACGGTAACGGTTTTAAACCAGATATGAAGCAACAAGCTCCACTGATTACTCACTGATTAAGAATTACAAATATTTTACGTCCAGTTTTGTTCTTCTAGTTCTACCTGCCTTGAATAGCACTGTTTCGGAAATTCTTACTTAGTACATTAATTCTAATACTTCTAATTATTATGGTAGCTCTCACGTATGAGTATGTCAGTTTAGTAGTAGTTACCTAATTTGCTAGCAATTTAAGCGTACTCAATGCACAACCCGTAAGTCGTAGAACAAAGTAGCCGTTTCATGAGTCACCATCTGTTATAACTTGTGACCGCCGATTAGAGAGCAGTGACTTATCTTGACGCGGTACGTTTGAAGTTTGCGTTACGATAACACTATCAAATATATATTCATTGTATATCGTTGAGTCCTAGTTTATAACTCATACATAGCTTTAGAATTCATACTTCAAGCAATATGGGTCGACTGTCAAAAAAACGAGCAATGATAAGCCCTAACTCTTCAGATATTAACAATTCTGTTATTTCCTATTCTTCTTGCCCACTACTCCTTTTGTATCTGATAATGCTGGGACTGGTCTTACACCACACGTGCTGCTGGATGACTCTGTTTCTAATTTAGTAATGAGTTCCACCTCAAGATCAAAAAGGATCGATGATATGAAGAGTGAATTAAACACTGTTTAAGCAACTAAGCGACATGCGTTCTAAAGTCGAGTCGCTTTCTAGCTCTTTATCAAAGCATGAAGATCTTAAGCAAGAACTAAAGACACTATCACCCTTAAAACTGCTTTTGTCAAAAGACATCGTTCCTGCGGAACTTGATGACATTATAAAAGCAGAATCTGTTATCGATTTTATCGCTAGTGAAGTTACCAAGCGAATAGTCTCTCGTAATAACGTGATTGTTTATAATATACCTGACAAAGTCCCCATTAAAACTGTAAGAAATTCGATATTAAAAGCATCTAACCTCCAAGACAGTCCATGCCAATGCATCCGACTTACTAAGAAGCACCAGAAATACTCGTGCCCGGTCTTGTTCAGGTTTGATTCTCATATATTAGCTGGACA